TTGGGCTGAGGCATGAGCAAACTGCATGTGCCCCAGCCACCTCTCTGTGGCTGCTCCCAGCTGAAAACAATTCTGCTCTCCCAAGTAGCTGGTCCACAGCACAGCCACACTGTCCTCACCTAAGCATTCCACCAGTGGCCGAGGAACACTCTACCCCATCCTACCACAGCCAGCACTCACATGCACCACAGGGAGGCCTGAGGACAAGTCCCCCTGGCCCAGCCTCACCCTCTCAGTACCCAAGCCTGCCATCTAGGTGCCTGGATGCTCAGCCAGTACACCACCATTGGCAGCTGAGCACTCATCCTGGGGTCTGAAGTCAGGCCCACTCAACCTGCCACTAACATCACAGCTGGCAAGCCACCTGCAGATCTGGAAACTGACCCGCCCAATCACTGCAGCCACAGCCAACACCGGCACAGACTGCTTGTGTCCCACAGGGTTGTCCCACCACTACTACTGCCATCACCCATGCCCCCACTTGCTGCCAAGTAGCCTGAGAACCAGGTCACCTATCATTTCTGGCACCCAAGCGAGCCACCTGGAAACCCACCTGGAGACCCACCAATAACTGGCCCGATTGGGCTTGCTAACACTGGTGCCAGCAATATCATCCTGGGCCCAAGGACAGGCAAACTCAGCCCACCACTGCCAACACTTGGGTCTGAAGACTGGCCCACATGGCATCCTATTCCCTAGCAAATCTCCACTAGTAACTGCATCCTAAGGCACTGAGGAAATGACAGATACCACTGATACTATTTACAGCTGAAGGTCATACAGAAACTACACTACTGCATGCACCCAGAATCAAAGCCAAAGTGCCCCACCTAACTGACACCATAAATACATCTTCAGGAAAAGTCCTCCCCTACAAAAGCAAATTCAAAAACTTAGAAACCACATATATCACATCAGATGCACATATATCAACTTCAGGAGGCAGGAAACATGAAAAACCAAGAAAATACGATACCACCAAAGGAACACAATAATTCTCCAGCAACAGATCTCAATCAAAAGTAAATTTACAAAATTCTGGGAAAAGACTTCAAAGTTGTGATATTAAAAAAGCTCAGGGAGGTGAGATACAAATTTTAAAATTTGTTTTAAAAAAAATACAAAGAAATCAGAAAAACAATTCAGGATATTAATGAGACATTTACCAAAAAATATACATATAAAAGAACCAAACAACTTCTGGAAATAAAGAATTGACTGATGAAATACATAATATACTTGATGAAATATTAAATACATAATATACTTGAAAGCATCAATAATAGGCTAGATCAAGCAGAAGAAAGAATCTCAGAACTTGAAGACAGGTCTTTTGAAATAACACAGTCAGATAAGAATAAGGAAAAAATACTTTAAAAATGTGCAAAGTTTACATGACACATGGGATACCCTAAAGTGCCCAACTATTCAAATTTTAGGAGTCTCAAAGGGGAAGAGAAAATGAAAGGATTAGAAAATCTATCACTAAAACGACAGAGGAAAATTTCTCAAGTCTAACAAGAAATTTAGACATCCTGACACAGGAGGCTCAGAGATCACCAAGTAGATACAATTTAAAAAGGTCTTCTCTGGCCCAGCACGGTGGCTCATGCCTGTAATCCCAGCACTTTGGAGACTGAGGCAGGCGGATCACCTGAGGTCAGGATTCGAGACCAGACTGGCTAACATGGTGAAACCCTGTTTCTATTAAAAATACAAAAATTAGCCAGGCATGGTAACACACACCTCTAATCCCAGCTACTACTCGGGAGGCTGAGGTGGGAGAATCGCTTGAACTTGGGAGGCAGAGGTTGCAGTGAGCTGAGATTGAGCCACTGTACTCCAGGCTGAGTGACAGAATGAGACTCTGTCTCAAAAGAAAAAAAAAAAGAAAAAAAAAAAAGGTTTTCTCCATGGCAAATTATAGTCAAACTGTCAAAAGTCAAAGACAAAGAGTTCTAAAAACAGCAAGGGAAAAGCATCTAGTCACCTATAAAGGAACCCCATCAGACTAACAATGGATTTCTCAGCAGAAACCTTACAGGCCAGGAGAGAACGGGATGATATACTCAAAGAGCTGAAAGAAAAAGACTACCAGCCAAGGATTAGGAAAGTTATCCTTCATAAATAAAGGAAAAACAATGTCTTTCCCAGACAAAAGAAAGCTGATGGAATCCATCACCATGAGATGGCTTAAAAGAAATGCTTAAGGGAGTGCTATACCCAGAAGAGAAAGAATGATATCTACAATCATGAAAACACACAGAAATTTTAAAAACCACTGACAGAGCAAAAACACAAAGAAAAGACTAAAATGTTATGAAAGAAAAACTCTATATCACAATAATAAGAGAGAACAAAAGGAACAAAACAACCACAAATCAATTAATAAGATGATGGGAATAATCCCTCACATATCAATAACCCTGAATGTAAACAGATTAAATTTTCCTCTTAAAAGATGTATACTGGTTGAATGGATGCAAAACACAACCCAACTACATGTTTCTTTCAAGAAATTCATCTCATCTGTGAAAACACATTGTGACTGAAAGTAAAGAGATGGAAAAAGATACTCCATGCTAACACAAACCAAAACCAAACAGGAGTAGCTGTACTTGTATCAGATAAAACAGACTTTAGGAAAAAAAACAGTAAAAACAGACAAAGAAGGTCATTACATAATTGACAAAGACATCAATTCAACAAGAGGATATAACAGTTCTAAACATGTATGCACCCAATCCTGGAGCACCCAAACATATAAAGTAAATATCGACCGATCTAAAGGGATAGACTCCAATAAAATAATTGTGAAGAACTTCAACATCCCACTGTCAGCATTAGCTTATCTGGACAAATAATTAACAAAGAAACATTGGATTTAAATTGCACATTAGACCAAATGGACCTAACAGACACTAACAGAAGAGTTCACCCAATAGCCACAGAATTTTCTCAATGGCACATGAAACAATCTCCAGAATAGAACATATGTTAGGATACCAAACAAGTCTCAATAAATTTGAAAAAGTCAAAATCGTATCAAGTATCTTCTCAAACCATAATGGAATTAAACTAGAAAATGACAACAGGAACTTTGGAAACCGTACAAATAAACGGAAATTAAACAACAGGCTTCTGAATGACCATTAGGTCAAGGGAGAAAGTAAGGATGAAATTTAAAAAAATTTCTTGAAAAAATAGTAATGGAAACAGTGTAGCAAAACCTATCAGACACAGCAAAAGCAGTGCTAACAGGGAAGTTTACAGCAACAAATGATTACATCAAAAAAGTAGAAAGATTTCAAATAAACAATCTAACAATGCATCTTAAGGAACTAGAGAAGGAAGAACAAACCAACCTCAAAATTAGCAGAAGGAAAGAAATAAGAAAAATCAGACCAGAGCTAAACAAAATAGAGACTAAAAAACAATACAGTGAAAACCTGTTTTTTTGAGAAGATAAACAACACTGATAAACTACTTGCTGGGCTAACCAAGAAAAAAAAGACAGAAGCCCCAAATAAAATCAGAAATGAAAAAAGAGACATTACAACTGATACCACAGAAATACAAAATATCAGAGACTATTATAAACAAGTATACATTGACAAACTGGAAAACCTAGAGGAAATGTTAAAATGACTATACCACCCAAAGCAATCTAAAGATTTAATACAACCCTATCAAGATACCAATGCCATTTTTCACGGAAATAGAAAAAAAAAAAAGTCCTAAAATGATTGTGGAACCAAAAAAGAGTCCAAAGAGCTAACAAAACCCAAGCAAAAACAAAGCTGGCAGCTGACTTCAAAATATAAGGTTATAGTAACAAAAACAGCATGGTATTGGTATAAAAACAGGCACACAGAATAATGGAACAGAACAGAGAACCCAGAAATAAATCCACATATTTATAGCTAACTGATTTTTTACAAAGGTGCCAAGAACATACGTTGGGAAAAGGATACCTTCTTCAATAAATAGTGCTGGGAAAATTGCATATCCAAATGCAGAAGAATGAAACTGGACCTCTGCTCTTTACCATGTTCAAAAATCAAATCAAAATGTATTAAAAACTTAAACATAAGATCCACAACTATAAAATTACTAGAAAAAAACATCAGGAAGACTCTAAAGGACATTAGGCAAAGGTTTAATGGCTAAGACCTCAAAAGCATAGACAATAAAAACAAAAATAGATAAATAGGACTATATTAAACTAAAAAGCTTGTGTACAACAAAGGAAACAATCAACAGAGTGAAGAGACAACTTGTTGAATGGAAGAAAATATCTATAAACTATTCATCTGTAAGGGTACTAATATCCAGAATATACAAGGAACTCAACTTACTAGCAAAAAACAAATAATCACACTAAAAAGTAGGCAAAAGACATGAACAGACATTTCTCAAAAGACAACATACAAATGGCCAGCAGGTATATGAAAAACTGCTCATCAGTAATCATCATGGAAATGCAAATCAAGACCACAATGAGATGTCAGTTCTTACCCTCAGTTAGAATGACCATTTTTAGACAAAAAATAACAGATGCTAGTGAGGATGTGAAGAAAAGGAAATCTTATATACTGTTGGTGAGAATGTAAATTTGTACAGCCACTGTGGAATACAATATGGAGGTTCCTGAAAACACAAAAAATAGAACTATCTTATGATCTAGCAATTATACTACTGGGTATTTATCCGAAGAAAAATAAACCAACGTATCAAAAAGATATGTGCATTCACATATTTATTGAAGCACTATTCACAATAGCAAAGATATGGAATCATCTTAAGTATCCATCAATGTACAAATGGATAAAGAAAACGTGGGGCCAGGTGCAGTGGCTCACACTTATAATCACAATGTTTTGGGAGGCCGGAAGAATCGCTTACGGCCAGGAGTTCGAAACCAGCCTGGGCAACATGGGGAAATCCTGTCTCTACAAAAAATAAATTTAAAAAACTTAGCCAGGTGTCGTGGCACACACCTGTAGTACCAGCTACTTGGGAGACTGAAGTGGAAGGATCGCTTGAGCCCAGGAGTTCGAGACTGCAGTGAGCTATGAATACACCACCGCATACCAGCCTGGGTGACAGGATGAGACCCTGTCTCAAAATAAATAAATAAATAAATAAAAACAAATCTAGCATATATAGAATGAAATACATTCAGCCATAAAAAGAATAAAATCATGTCATTTGCAGCAACATGAATGGAACTAGAGGCCATTATATTAAATGAAATGAGCCAAGCAAAAAAGACAAATATCACATGCTCTTACTCACATGTGAGACCTAAAAAAGTTCTCATGGAGGCAGAGAATAGAATGTTAGATACCAGAGGCTGGGAAAAGTGTGTGAGTAGGAGGGAGGATGAAGAGACTTTGGCCAATGGGTATAAACATACAATTAGATAGAAGGTTTATGTTCTAATATTCAATAGCAGAGTAGGGTAAGCATAGTTAGCAATAATGTGTGATATATTTTTCATAGTCACTAGAAGAAAGGACTTAAAATGTTTCCAACACACAAAAATAATACTCAAAGTGATGAATACCCCAAATACCAAATTGAGAATCACACAGTCCATGCATGTAACAAAATATCACATTACCTCATAAATATATAAAACACTATGTTTCAATTAAAAAATTGTAAGATAATCAGGGAAGTTTGGATACTGACTAAGTATTTGCTGATATTAAGGAATTACTGGATTTTTTAGTATGCTATGTGGTTATGTTTTTATAAAGGTTACTTAGTGAAATGTTTATGAAGGAAATGATACGATGTCTGGTATTATTTTCCAAATAATCTGGGGGTGTGGGGAACGTGGGTATCCATGAGTGGAAAATTGCTGAATCCAAGAGAGTATATGAGGATTCACTGTACTATTTTCCCTATTTGAGTGATGTTTAAAGTTTTCCATACTAAAAAGCTTTAAAATAAATTGTAGGATAATTTTTTAAAAAACAAGAAGACAATATTATCTCCCAGGAATACGGATTGTATATCCCACAGTGAAAACAATTTCTTTTAACTGCCTGAGAGCCAAACTTACCAGATAGAAGATGGGTAGTACCTACAGACGAAGGGAAAAAAAAGGATTAAAAACAAAAATTTGTTAAAGTCATTGATTTGCTAGCAATTTCATATACTATCAATAAACTACACTACAAAACTCAAAAGCAACTCAAATTTCCATAATTAAAAATTTATAAAAACAATTACACATTATTAACTTAATCAAGTAGAATGTAAACATTACTGTTTATATCTGTTCAACGGAATCAACACTATAAATACAAATTATGATAAAGAATTATTGACCACCAAAACAAACGCCATTTAAATTGGATTATAAGACTTGAGGGCTAGAAACATGTTTGAAAACGTAAACAGCAAATAATTGCTGATCCAATCATACTATCAAGAAACTATAAGAAGACTAAGTCCCTTTCAACAGACTATATCAAAACTCAAAACTACCACATCACCTTATTGTTTATATTTTTCAATGATTATGGATGAAACATTGCAAAAATAAATTTACTTTCAGATAAGCAAAAATAAAACAATAAATAAGCTGCTCTCCTAAGCGAGGTGAACACATTGACTCAGAGTGTCATTTAGAACAAGCAATATTACTCAGCAGAAAAAGTGCAGGATTCAACTGTGCACTGTATATGAACTGTATGAATTAATCTCTAAGCCTCTAATTCCTCATCGATAAAATCAATCTAAAGATACTTTGCAAGGTTGTGGTACAGACGAGTGGCATCAAATAGAAGGTGAATGGAACATATCCCTACAGTATATACTCAGTAAGTGGTGGCTACCATTTTTTTTTCCAATTAAAAAGAGTTAAATATGGCATTTTATATTGGGTCCTGAAAGAGTAAATTAATTGTACCTAAGAGTAAAATTTGATCCCAAATATTGATATTATTATTGACTCATTAGGTTCAGTTTAAATTTGTTAAATTATCTTATACTTTTTACAGAAGAAAATATGTCAATAAAGTTAGTTCTATAACAAATTTATAAGTGATGCTTATTTCTCTTTGCCTTGCCCTATTAAAAACTGGACGTATTCAACCTAGAAATTTTAGACCAAGAGATATCATAAAATTGTAAAGAAGTAAAAAACCTCATAAAGAATTAAAATTAGTGAAGTAAATCTAAATTAATCAATGTAAGCCACAAAACCAATGCTGAGTGCTAAAAGGCAATGAAACATAAACAGTTTCTGTAAATTATTTTTAAAATATGAAACATTATTATGTACTACTTATGGAAACATACATGGAATATAAGAATGAAAACAGACAGGAAGTCAGCACATCAGTTTCAGGGCAGTAATTGCCTTAGAGGGAGAAAAATGGGCTGGCGAAATGTATTAAGGAATTTTAACAATAACATCCATAATGTTTACATTCTTAAAAATATCCAGGTGCTGGCAAAATAGGCTTCAAGGTAACAATTATGAAATACATAAAATCATTTTGAAAATAGGGTCATAATGGGTAAAACTATACAGATAAAACACAATTACTTGGTGTTACTGAGAACCTATCGTTTATAGAGCTTGTAGTAATACGAATTATTTGAAAGGATCTCTGTATTTTCAATTACTTAGACGACATTATTGAGATGCTTTACCAAATCTGCAACTCTAGGGAATCCGGAAAGATTCCTTAGCAAGCTTTGAGGGATGGGTCTCTATCAATGAACCAGACCCAGGACTCAACCTTAAAGACAGTATATATTTGGTTCTTTGAAGGGGTCTTGAAGAATTCGTTGACTCCCTAAAACTACTACAGAAAACAGAATTTCTTTTTTTACCAATTTTAATTTAGCATTTTTTTTTATGGGGCCACAGTCTTTTTCTCTATTATTGTAAATGTTTCTTTTTTTAAAGATTTGCCCTAGTATAATCCAAGTCTGCTTCCAAATAAAGTAAAAAGTATTAGTATGAAAAAACCCTGGCTACAATAAATTAGAGACCATTTAATCCTGCAATCTTGGTCAAGTTCCTATTTCCACCATAGCACATTAGATCCATACTCAGTAAACCTGAACAGTGTCAACTGACCTGAACTGGTTCCACTTTCTTTATCTGGGGTTGTTTTATGAAAATGCTTCGTTGTCCTGGAAGCAGGTGTACTCCGTGTTGCTGTAATATGATCAGAAGGGAATCTTTGTGTACTCTTGAGACCATTAGTCATTGGGGAATGTACATTGGTGGACTTTTGTGTTGCTAGAAGACTCTGCGTAAATGCAACTTTTACTGTGGTGAATCTTTGGGCTGTTAGTGTGGCCTGTGTAGCAGAAGAATTTGTCATTGTGGGATTCTGAGCTGCAGGAGGGGTCTTTGTAGATAGGGTTTTTGATATGAAAGATGTCTGAGCTGCTGCTGGGGCTTTGGTGGCTGAAACATTTACTGTGGTGGGTTTCTGAGGAGTTGGTGAAACTTCTATACCTGAAACATTTACAGTGGTGTTTTTTTGAGGTGTTGATGGGACTCCTGTAGCTGAAACATTTACTGTGGTATGACTTTGAGGTGTTGATGAGACTCCTGCAGCTGCAACATTTACTGTGGTGTATTTTTGAGGTATTGATGAAACTCCTGTAGCTGGAACATTTATTGTGGTGGGTTTCTGAGGTGTTGGTGTGACTATTGTAGCTGGGACATTTACTGTGGTGGGTTTCTGAGGAGTTGGTGGGGTTCTTGTAGCTGAAACATTTTCTGTGGTGTGTTTTTGAAGAATTGATGGAGTTTCTGTACCTTGAGCATTTGGTGTGGTGGTTTTCTGAGAAGTTGGTGAGACTTCTGTAGTTCGAACATTTACTGTGGTAGGTTTCTGAACTGTTGGTGGGGCCTTGGAAACTAGAGAGTTTGCTGTGAAAGGAAAGGTTAAGAAACAAGTTAACTAAATATTGCTGGCCATGTTAAGATTCTTAGTCATTGCTTGCTCTGTGGCTATCCTCTCTCTCTCCCACAAACAACTAGGTATGACTTTCAGGAAACCAAGTCTTATTGTGTATTTCTCAAGGAGCTGAAGTTCTAAGTTACTCTTGCTTTGATATAAATCATACCTACAGGTGACTAAAGACGACATATACCAAAGTATACTGAGGTGCTTAAGCTGCTTTTTGTGAAATAAATCAAACTTAGAGTCACTAGTGATCTTATTCTGTGGCACATCTCTATTTTCTCTCCCAAATTATCTTCTGTGCTAATACTAAAGAACAACAGGATGTTGTTCTAGAACAACTAAGCCAACAGAGACAATCACAGTCTTTTCTATCACTTAACCTTAATGAGCTTGAGAACTTGTTTTGTTTCACTTCTTGTTTAAAGTGATACTTAAGTCTGAGTAAAAATAGCTCCTTTTAATTCTCTTGTGCTGGTTACCAACTTTCCATATACTAGTTCCTCTTTAGATTTCAGACTAGATAACAAGTCACGTGAAACTTTCGTAAGAACATATTCTGAGAGGCATAAATCTAACAGCAGAGCAACTTTTTGGGTCTTCAGAGCCCATCTGCCACTGGGTCACTTATACAAAGTTCCTGTTGAGGCAGCATTGGGTAGTGCCGAAGCCTGATTTCACCACATACTAGTGACCTCTAGCAAGTCCCTAACCCTTCTAAGCTATAGTTTCCTCATCTGTAAAATCAGGATAAAAGCAGAACAGACTGAGTAATTATTATTGAGTAAGGATTAAGGGAAATAATTGAGTAAGCTATTTCACAGTGTCTGTCCCCAAAGCAAGAGATTACATCATCCAGGATGACTGTTGCCAGCCCCATCACACACGGGATGCCCTAGGAACTCAGACGGTATCGGTCTTTTTTTCTGCCTCCTAACCTATCTCACAGGCTGCTATAAGGGATAAATTGAGTAAAATGCCTAGCAAGTAACACAGCATTTAGTAGGCACTCAATGATAATCATTATTAAGATAAGTAAAGTTTTTTTTTATGAACTTTACATTCTAAGACCCTCCTATATAAAAATTATTCTAAATTACTCTTTGTTCTATCAAGTTAGTTCTGTTTTGATCCAGAGAATGTATACACTACCTTAGAGTTTAAATTTCCTAGAAGTTAATTTTTTAGTTATTATCTTTTTGTTACTGACATCTAGTTTAATTCCACTGTGGCTAGAAGGTATGCTCTGAATAACTTCAATCTTTTGCAATGTATTGTAGTTTAGAGCCCAGCATAGGGTCAATTTTGGTAAATATCCCATGTGCAGTTGGAAAAAAATACTTGTCATCGGTCCTATGTATCTCATATATATATGTTTAATATCTAATATGTATATATGTTTAATTGTTGCTCAGCTCTTTAGTCTCACTGATTTTTGGTTGTTTGTCCTATTAGCTATTGAGATAGGTGTGGAATTTTCCAACTATGAGTGTGTATTTGTCTATTTTTTCTGTCCATTTTTGCTACATAGATATTGAAGCTATTTTATCAAGTACATATAGATTCCAGATTGTGATATATTACTGTTGAGTTGGCCTCCTTATCATTATGAACTGTTTCATCTTAAAATATACATTGATATTAATATAACTGTGTCAGCTTATTTTGAAGGGTTAATGTTTGCATGGTGTATTTTTCCATCCTTCCAACTATTCTGTGTTCTTTTGATTAAACTGTGTCTCTTGTAAATAGTAAAGAACTAGGTTTTTTAAAAATCTTTTTTAAGTCTGACAATCTTGGTCAAATTGCACTTAATGTAATTATTGACATACTTGGGTCTATATCAACGACCGTATTAGTTTTCTATTTCTCCCATCTATTCTGTGTCCCTTTCTGCTTCTCTCTCTCTCGTTCTCTTTTGGATTAAATATCCATTATTATTCTTTTATTAGCTTGTGATTTATGTATTCTTCTGTCATTCATTTGTAGCAACTCTAGAGATCACAATATTAGACTATAAGTCAGTCATGCAAACTATCACTTTTACCACCTTTTCAGTACTGCTAGAACTGTGCAACCTTCACATGAATTTACCTCTTTCTGCCTTTTGCATTGTTATTGTGCATTTGTATTCTATGTATAATTCAGACCCCACAGGACATTACATTCACTGTTTATAAACTCAGTATTCATTTATTATCCTTGTTAGTGTTCATTTCCTCTTGTATTTTCATGTTTTACCTGGGATTATTTTCATTCTACTTGAAGAATTTCCTTTAGTTTCTCATTCTGTGCATGTTTGGTCTGCTAATGCAAAGTTTTCTTGGTTTTTGTCTGAATACATCTCTATTTTGCATTCGGTTTTGAATGTTGTATTAGTTGGGTATAGAATTCTAGGTGAACAGTAATTTTCTTACTGTTTTTTAAAGAAGTTTTAAAGTTTTTAAAGTAATTTTAAAGATTTCTTCTTATTGTCCTTTGGCCTGCATCATTTTTTTGCTGAGCAGTGATCAGTTTTACTGCTGGTTCTTTGAAGTTTTTGTTTGTTTTTGCTTTTTCTCTTTGTGCATCAGTTTGGGTATTTTTAACTGGTATTTCAGTTCCTAATACCGTTTCCTGCTCTATCTGAATAGCTAAACCTATTTATTGTGTTCTTAATTTCAGATATTTTCCAGTTGTAGAATATTCATTTTACTCCATTTTTACAGATTCCAGTTGAAGTTCTCTTTTATCATCTGAAACTTGTTCATCAGTTATTTTAAGGTCTTCATTTGCTAACTCAATTATCTGGATATTCTTTATTTGGTTTTGTTTTCTCTTGATTTGGTCATATTTTCTTGCTTCCTTCCATATCTAACAGTCTTTTGTTGTATGCCAAACATTGTATATAAAACATCCGGATGATACGATATGCCTTTCTGATAAGCAGACTGCATTGAGGTAATCATATCTTCAACCTATTAGGAATTGAGCTGGGTTTCAGTTTCGGTAAGACTCCATCTACTTCTGCTCTTGCCTCTGTTCCTTGGGAGGGGCCCTTCTGGGCTTCTGATTCAAAGCCTGGCAGATTTTTGTTGTTTCACCTTTGGAAGATGGCAGGAGATCTACGTCTGTCTTTCAGAGTTCTCCCAGCCATCTAATGTTCTTCCCTACACAGTTTCAAAATGAGCACAGATGTGCTAAGGGGAGACCTGTGGTATGCTAGATAAAAGCCTGTTCCTCTGGTGGGTATATGCCATCCAAATACCATCAGGTTCTGAAAGATTTCATTTTGTACTTTAGAAGCTCTGGGTCAAGCTTCCCAGCCTCACATGCAGCCCCAAAATTAGCAAATGGCCTTTAGGAAAAACTGGTTCTGCATTTGAGGGCCTCAATTTCCAGTGTATTATCCTATCGCTCCATAACCATTAAAGCTTTGCTGATTTCTCTTTCCTTGAAGTGGTCTTTTGTCTGGGTCAAGGTGAATCCTTAGTCCAGGTTCAGAATCAGCAAATGTCCCTAGGGAAAACTGGCTTATGGCAGAATGGGTTGCCTTCACCACCCACCCCAGGAATTTTAGTTCATTCAGACCTTGTTATTTCCACAGCTATACCTTATGCCTTAAAAAATATAAATTTTTGGTAATCTATTCAGATTTTATAGTTGTTTTAATGGAAGTATTAGCCTGCCATGACCTACTTGGGTACTTCCATATGGTTTTTAAGCTCTAAATAACTGATCATTTAATAAAACTTGGAAAAATTAATATGAACTGGATCAAATGGCCAAATTAAAAAAGCACACACTAAACTTCATAACTAAATGAATTCAAATAATAAAAATTTTTACCATTTACATTGTCAAATCTCCCTAACAATCATTATCATTAAAGGTGCAAACACTACAATGATGTAATATTAGTGGGAGATTAAATTGGTACAGTCTTTTAAAAAGCAACGTTAGTAATGGGTATGAAAAATGTAATTCACATACCTTTGTTACAAATAATTATACTGCATGGAATTTATTGTACAAATGTACTTGCATACATGTGCAGTGACAGATGTACAAGAATATTCATTATAGCATCATTTGTAATAATAGTTCATTAAAAAAAAACAAACTAGAACAAGAAACCTAAATTGCCATCAACAGGGGACTGGTGAGATAAATGAATACCCACACCATTGGTATAATAAATAAAAAATATTTGTATGTTTATTTATATTCTAGAATAAAACAAAAGAACTTGTAAAAATGGTTACCTCTCAGAGTAGGACTAGTGATAGAGAAGAGGCTTTCACTTCCCCTTTTGTACTCATCTCCATGGCTTTAATATTATGTCATTATGTCTATGTATAATACTTATAATAAAAATATTTTTAATAAGGAATTTTTAAAATTCACACTAATAAAATTTCAATTTTAATTATAAAAGTAAATACTCAAATGCTTGAGTCATGCTGGTATTCACCACTACTTAAACAAATGCCATCTATTGATACTAGGCAATGTTTAGTTCAACTTCACTGATCTTCTAAATATTTCTTTTAAAATATATTTAAAGAGCAGTTCTAAGGATTCTGAGAGTACCTTCTGGGTATAAAAAGACATTGAAAGAAAAAAGTCTAGAAGGATGAAGGAGAATGGATAATAACAGAAATTCTGGAGGCAGAAAAGAATTGAATGTTAATTCAGGGAAGTCAACAGATGGCAAGAGTTTCTCAGTTGTTGCAACATGCATGGTCACTATCTAGAGACTTCAATCTAAGATTCTCCCGCCAATAAACCACTTTATATCCTCTTTGTATAAACAAAGTACCTGTATTAACTTACTGAAAGCAACATGGTATAAAACAGCAAATTTAAGCAAATTCACCAAAAATATGAGGCCTATTTTATATATACACATCATAATGTGTGTGTGTGTGTATGTCTGTGTGTGTATACAAGCCATAGACCCTTCTGAGCAGCTTTAGAAATATTGTGTCCCACAGAAAAATACAAATATGTTTACGTAAACATTTTACATTTTTTTCTTAGGGGGTTCATAGAATGTCTGCAACTCACATATAGACTTAAGGGTAAGAATAAAGCAAAAATATAACTATCCAAAGTGATTACCTCTACATGCAGGTGGTGGGCCACTCCACTCTCCTTCATCGTCATTCACAGTACAATAAATAGAGTGCTCTCCAATCATGGTGAATCCTCTATTACATAAATACGTTATAGACTGTCTATATCCATAATGTTCACGTTCCCCTTGAATTATTCCATTGTCAATTTGTGGTGGTGCTGGACAATAAATTTCTTAAAAAACAATTCCAACATCTTTTAAATAAATAAAACTAGTAAAATATTTTTACAAATAAGACCAAAACATGTTAAAGATTATATTTTAAAGAAATCAAAATATCATTTTTCTAAATTCAGCATTATCAACAAGAGATGCTTATAAATGCCTATTAAGTAATTGGTAGTATACTAGAGCTTTGAATGCAAATGGTGTAGAAGACAAATGCTAACCTTGAAACTAATTCATAAAAATAATAAGACTCAGAACATGTATGTAAAGGAAAAATTATAATAAGATTTGGGCATATCAAAATGGTGCTAGGAAAAGTGAATGCTGCAGGAGTTTAGGGATGAAAGCAGTATAGTTAGAGAAGACTTGGGCAGGGAAATAGAACTTCAGTTTAAACCTAATATGTACCATGCTTTTGAGAGAGAACAGAGAAGAGAGCATTACTCTTCACTCTAAGAAGGAAAAAATAGCAAATGCAAGGAGTTGAAAATTCAAGCAGCATGTTTAAGAACTAAGTACAGATCGTTTTAGATAGAGCAGAGATCTTAAATGTCAGGATTACATTGTGACTTCTAGAGTAAACATTTTTAGCACATATTGACTCACAGAGACTTCATTCAAAACAATCTTACTGAGCAGTTGAACTTATAAAATAAATACAAGCAGAGGTTTTTTTAGTTATAATGTAAAAAGGGACCACTCTCTGGCAATTGCCCTGAGAAAAAATTCAATGGTTCCACATACTCCAAAGGCATGATGTTGTTGTCCTTTTTTTTTTCCTAAGAATGGAAGGCAATTTAATATGTGTGTATGTCAAATTATGTTACACGAAGCATACTTAAGAATACAGAAAATACTTAGCACATTTATCAATCACTCTTCAGTCTTAGATCAAAACAAGCAGCAAGAACAAGCTGTTCTGATTTACACCAACTTAGAGTATGCAGAGACACACATACCATTGGTTCAGTTCAAACATTTTCTAACTGCCTAACACATGCCAGGCATTTTTCTATAACTGGAAGTGTAAAGCTGAACAAGATATAGTTCGTATGTCTTAAAAGCTAGTGGGGAAAAAAGATTCAGAGATGATTTCAATAAAAATTGCAAGGGTCATCATAGAAGTAGCCAGCCTGGGAATCTCCCTGATGGGCTAGAGAACTAACTCTTAGGAAAATATAGCTAAGTAAAGAAGGGGCAGCGGGGCATGGTGGTTCACACCTGTAATCCCAGCACTTTGGGAGGCTGAGGTGGGCAGACTGCTGGAGCCCAGGAGTTTGAGACCAGCCTAGGCAACATGAGGAAGCACTGTCTATGCAACAAATACACAAATTAGCTGGGCATGGTGGTGTGCACCTATAATCCCAGATACAAGGGGGGGCTGAGGTGGGAGGATCACTTGGGCCAAGGAGATTGAGGCTGCAGTAAGCTGTGATCACACCACTGCACTTCAGCCTGGGTAACAGAATGAGACCCTGTCTCAATCTAAAAAAAAAAGAAAAGAAAAAAAAGAGGTACATGGAAACCACAGCAGTTTGCATGTAAAAGGCATAAAACATGAGGGCAAGACCTGAGGGTCAAGCAGTAGGTAGACCATGACTGTCTTGTACACTATACTAAGGAATTTGGGCTTTGTAAGTGATAGGAGATATGAATAAGCTCTAAGGAGGAAACAGACATCTAAGTCACATCTGTGTTTCAGATCGCTCTGGGTAAAATATGGATGAAACATTAATAGAGTGAAAGAATGGAGGCAGGAGGCCATTGCTATCAGTGTCACTCTTGAACTCAGGCAACTAAGACTGCTGCCTCAGACCCCATATTTTAAAAGGCTGTGCTCTGGCCCTCCTCTGGATGCGTCTCTCCCCTGTTGGTGGGATATCTGTAGGCTGAGAGCATACACTTAATGACAACCTGTCCTACGACTTCTCCTCCATTCCAGAACATGCTCCAGGAACTAGCACCCAGAATTCCCTGTGCCAACACCCTTTCCAGGGCCTGAGAGGGTCCCTCCCACTGGTCCACGTTCTTGGGGGTGGTCTATCGCGCTGATATACTTCACCTCTAACCCAATAGACAATGGAGGGTGGATACAAGTTATGGTAGATGTGGTGGACACGACTTGGGTATTTAGGCTGAGTTGTCCACTTATTTGCACCAGAAAACCCACAGTGTGGAAAGAGGAAGGCCTATTTGAAAGAAGGTGGGTCTTAGGCCAGTGACCTCCATTTACATTCTTGCCTGGGCCCTGAAAATGTTAGAGGTGGCCCTGATTGCAATAGTCCACAGAAGGAATAATAAACTATGCCATAAGTATACAGATGGAGGGCAAAACACAAGTTTGAAAAACAGATTGAGGAAGTAAAGCACAATGATTTAGGGATGAGATGTGAGGAGTTAAGATAAAGAGAAGGGTCTGGGATGATAGTCATTATATAGCAGGGATTGATTCTAGGTTAGCAGATACCATCAGTCAACTAAAATTTTGAAAAAGAAAACATTGGCAGAGAGATAAGCAAACAGGTCCTCTGACAGTGAGGCTCCATTCACAGGTAAACTAGCATCACCTCTGCTTTCTGTATAACTACAAACAATTAGTGGATGTATCCATTGTTCTTTCCTTCTTCATATCCATATTCACGCATGGACACTGAAGCAACCTCATGTGTTTATAGGCTAGGGCTACATACTCCAGGTGAAGCATTACATTGTTTAAGAATTTACTTTCCATTCAATCTTTTTGGTATGGTCAAAACAAGTTATGTGGAAATTCAAAATGATTCTAAAAGAAGTAAGGCCTTATGGGGATATTTGAAGGCCCTGGGATTGCTTAAGAACAGGGGCTCTTTCCTACAGGATGCAGATGTCAGTGGTTGCTGAGTCAGAGAGGATAGAAGAGTCAAGGAGGAAAACATGAATATCAGAATATTCAGCATGGAGTTCAAGACACCAAATAGGGAAGCAAGGCTGAGACCTAGATGGCGCAAGCAGGAAGATAAAGTGGGTTTGCATTGCTGTCAAATTCATGACACAGCAAGTGCTTGTGCAAATACTGGCTTCAGATGGGAGACTGTTTGTCTGAACTTTGTGACATGCTGCCTGGGTCAAACGAAAGATACGGCCCAGTTTTTCCTTGTTTTCTATCTTTAATTTACTATCATTTACAGTGTCTCTTACTGGACAAGGAAAGTGGGAAAGGTGCTACTGGGTAGCAATGATGAAAAATTTAAAAACAACTACAATGAGAAAAAACTGGTGGTAGTAGTATGACATCTCAAAAGAAGGGCACACGGTGGGTGTGGCAGGGGCAGGCTCCTTGATGGCACGGCTTCATTTTATTTGTCTTCATATCAGTTGACCCTACACGTTGCCTACCAGAATGTCAATCGATAAATGTTTGATAAATTACACTAAATCTACTCTAGTTTTTTTCCCCTAGTAACACACAAAAACTTTAACTTATCAATAATTTTGACAATAGGGCCTTCAGAAGTCATTTGCAGGAGGGCACATTGTGTGTAGAGAAAGAGAAGGATGGAAAGAAAGCAAGCCTACATTTTAAAACATTGCTGTATTTTATTCCTCTCAATTTCCAAGAGACACGTTTCTCTAACTGATATAAATTTGACAGGATATATACCCATTTATAGCATTATTGCTGCACCATATCTTTCATTTGAGAAGATTCTCAAATACAGAAACAGTATTTCTCCTTTATGGTATAAGCTTCTCTCTCTCATAAGAATATATCACACCTTAAAACCCTTCTAGATAATTATCTCTTAATTATTTTAATCCTAAGAAGCAGCATGTAGGCAACACTGGGTTTTAGAAAAATGCTGGGTCTGAAATAAGAGACCTGGGTTAAAGGCCTTCCATTGCCACTTGTTTTAGGATATGGGGTCAGGTCTTATAGACCCTCTGATAGACAGTATTTTCTTACATTAAAATTGTGGGGTGGAAATCTTTTACCTATCATACTTGACTTTAGAAGTAATGGTTAGACAATAAATGACCAAGTGCAATACAAATCTAAGTTTGTTTTTAATCCTTATTCTATTGTTTGGGAATTGGGACTCAGAAAACTTGATGGTTTATCTCCACAGCTAATAAATTAAGAAGCATCACTAGAAAAGGTATTAAAATTAGCAAAGCACTCATATATTGAAAGCTGGGTTTGCTACAAATACACACTGTTCTAATTCTTAAGGGGCAGAAATTAATTTATCATTGAGTACTCAGCCTCGCAACCTGAGTGCTTAGATTTTTAACTCTTACCTCTGCACTCTGGCAACGTGTCACTCCACTGGACTCCACTGTCTGAAGCAAGACATAAACTAGAAGTCGGGCCAAATAATTTGTACCTAAAGCAATAGGGGAAGAAAAAAGAGTTTGTTACATTCACACGTATTTGACTTTCCTCAAATTCTTCAGGTTATTATCTTGAAATATTTACTACAGCAGCAGGTGAAAATAAAACAGTAGTTGACAAAAGTCCACACAGTAGTTTAAAGGAAAAGAAAAATTAGGTTTAAAAAGGTGACATCCAAAGAGTAAAAACGGGTAAGACATGTACATTTTTTATTTGCATGGGGAATATGTTAGAAAGCATAAAAGTGTTTAAAACATTTTTAAATGACAGAGATGATTGAACATTTTATACTTCCGAGTTCTAAATACAGGCTTCATAAAATAATAGAATGTACTTGTATTTCAAGGGTTCAACGTACTTCCCAGATTTTGTGTTTGTGACCTAACCAACATCTGTTCCGTAAAGGAGACAAGTGATACTGATATTTTTACTTTATAAAGAATAGGGACACACACACAGTAAAATAGAATTATTTAATTCACAGATATGAAATGAGAAAATAAATGTAAAGTTTTCAACAGTGTCTGAGACATTGATGGTACTCAATGAATGAGTTGCTTTTTCCTATATAGAGAACTTATCAAAGAACTTAGGTTAGAATATTTTCACACTAGGAATGTCTTTAACTCATGCTGTTTTGTAACAGCTTGTTTGCATAGAGAAAAACTCATGCAAATTCATTATTTAGGTCAACTAAAGATTGGTTTAGTATTTAACATTTGAAGAATTATTTCTGCAAGTAACATCATCTCAAATTTTTTTATTAATCACATTTAAAATTCTATATTGAATCACATATTTACTGAAATCAGAATTTAGAGAATTTTGGTGGTATAAGAAATCTTCCTTTCTTGCCCCATTTTAGTAAATTTAACTGTGATGAGCTCATGATGAAGGGTCTTTGAGGAGAAGGATTGTTTTAGTTGCTAGTAGCTGTGAATACCAGTCATGAAACTAACAATCTCATCTTAAGTCCTAATTTGTTTCCTCATTTCCTAAATACAGGGTTTTAGTATGCCCAAACTTACCCTGTGTTACATGAGAAGGAGATGGCTGCACCAAATAATATGCCATTTGATATATCGATCTGACCATTTGGTATTTCTCCAGGATTAGGGCATGATTTCTCTAGAATAGAATACAAATTGATTTTTTTTAAATTAAATTATCAGGCATACACACAAAGAAGGTAACTATGTGAGGTGGTGCATATGTTAATTAGCTTGACTATGTTTATCATTTCACAATGTGCACATATATTAAAATATCATGTTGTACACCTTAAATAATATTTGTTGCTTATACCTCAATGAAGCGTGGGAAAAAATTTTGAAAAAATTATCAAGCACCTATATGTAAATTCATCATCTGAACCATTGATAGTTCTTATCCTTAGATTTTTTTTTTTTTTTTGAGATGGAGTTTCGCTCTGTTACCCAGGCTGGAGTGTGGTGACATAATCTTAGCTCACTGCAACCTCTGCCTCCCAGGTTCAAGGGATTCTCCTGCCTCAGCCTTCCAAGAAGCTGGGATTACAGGCATGCACCACCACGCCCAGCTAGTTTTTGTATTTTTAGTAGAGTCGGGGTTTCATCATGTTGGCCAGGCTAGTCTCAATCTCCTTACCTCAAGTGGTCCACCTGCCTCTGTCTCCCAAAGTGCTGGGATTACAGGCATGATCCACCATGCCTGACCCTTAGACTTCTTTAATTCTAATTTCTCTTTATAATAAGTTTTGAAAAAGCAACGTATTTAGAATATATACTTGTTTCATTTTAGGTAACCTCAAACTAAATGTGAAATTTTTGAGTGAATAAGTATTCCTACCACATAAATATTTAGTTTGTCTAATTCAAAATAAATTGACACTCATGGTCCTATCAAGAAACATCCTAAATAATAATATATACACACAGAGTTCTAGCATGAATGAAGGAAGGGATACTATTTCCCCCAAACACCAGATGGTTGAAAATACTTTAAAAAATTTTACTCACTTTTACAAAATTCAGCTGCTGTGGACCATTTTAAATTCTGAAGGCAAGTTAGTTTTGCTAATAGAGAAAGGTCTCTTCTGTAACCTGGACGACACTCATATTCCACAACAGTACCGACTGGAAAATAACTCTGAGGAATATAAAGCTGTTTGAGGGATGCAAACTTCAGCCTGGTTGGCGCACCGCAGCTACCTAAATGTATTAACAAAAGCAGCAACAAAAAAAGTAGTATCAATGTTTGTTTTATAATCTATATTTAATTATCTGGACCCTGATAACCCCCTTTCTTTACTGCTTTGCACATATTTGGTACTTAACTATATTAATATCACCATGGCACTTGCAATGTAGCAAATGCATTCACATGTATACTTTATTTCCCAGTTACTAGAGGCTTAGGACGTAGAGTTGGTACACAGATATCACTATCCCCGCTTGAAAAAAACAAACAAAGAAACAAAAAAACCATTTAGGTTGCCTGGCACAGTTCTGGCATTCAATAAATGTTGGTTTCCTTACCCTACCCTAAAGAACTACACAGCACCATACAATACAGGAATAGGGTATTTCCAGACCCCTGGACTAATGTCCTGCACAACAATAATAGCAGCTAACATTTATTTACATATAAACTCATTTAATTCCCACAAGCCCTGGAGGCAAGGATGAGTTAATTGTATACATAAAGTATTTACATCTGTAAACAGCTGGGCAAATGTGAATCTAGAGAGGCATGGTCAAGTGGAAGGGTCACTGGATTTGTAGTCAGAAGACCCAAGTTTACACCTTGGTTTTGGCATAAAAGCTGCTGTGCTCTTAATGAAGTTATTTAACTACTGGGGCCTGTCTCCTCCACCATTGGATAAAGTAACAACATGGGGAAGAGTTAAAACATGATACGTGTGCAAAGACTATGTACTTCATCCTACTGCCTCTATCGTGGATAAAAATAAAAAGTTAAAGCCTATTTCACGCATGGCTTCTAAAAGTATTTGTGCCAATTTCTGTATTTACTGTAGCTTCTATTGATTTAAGTTGTTCAAAGTCAGGTTATTGGGTCTCTTTAACTTTACTCATGTATCTCAAAGCTAATACAGGGCTATGTAAATAACAGATTTTTTTCCTCCAAGATAATGCCGATATATATTTTATGAAACCAAAGGGCACACGAGGTGTGGATGACTGTATGTATATTCACCTAAAACAAGAAATCTTCATTTCTTTTAATTCTACTAGATATCAATACCAAACACGGTTACTGTGTTAGCCCCAAAACAACTCTTCACTGGGCCTCTTATTCATTTTTAACAATCAATCTATCTACCTGTCTATCTATATCCCAATTTACATATATCTCTCTCCCTATATATCTCTCTCTCCATATATACATACATATATGTCCCTATATATATCCCAATTTATATATATATATTTTTTTTTTCAAAGTAGCAAGAAGAGAAGATTTGGAATATTCTCCACACAAACGCCAAGTGTTTGAGGTACTGGCTATCCCAATTACACTGATTGATCATGACACATTGTATGATCTATAAATACCTATAAATACGTACAAGTATAACAGATTTTGAAGTAAATATTGAGAGCTTTTAAAAATGCCACCACAGAGTTGTATTTGATAAGCCCTACTTTACAAAATATTTAAGAAAACAGATCACTTACGCTATGTGTCTCAAGGCAATTGCCAAATATATTTTATATATTTACTCCCTAAACAATACATATTGTTTAATTTCTCTACTAGTTCGTTCAAGGGGTACAGTGTTAGGACGAAAAACTCTTAATGAAGCAGCAGGACCTACTCAGGGAGGTAAATGTCTTCAATTAGCTGGAGTGTGAAGTGCCAACAAGGTATACCCTGGGGTTTAGTAACACTAGAAAACTATCAATTACTAGTCACTCCAAAGATACATAAAAATAAATTTTAGATACATTTCATTCCCATAACTTTTCTTAAAAAAAATGAGGAACTTACGATTGCAGAACTCTTCAATATCTGACCATTGACTGTCCTGAAGGCACATCACTGAGTCGTGCTTGCCAGGAATTTTCGTAAAGTTTTCATCACATCTGTACGTTATTATGGTGTTCTCGGGAAAACTTGTAAGGCCTTTCAAAGCTGGCTGGGCATTAGGTACAGCTGGGGGAGGGCCACAGTCAGCTAGGGAGACAAAAGCAGAACTGAAGGAAATGACTATCAAGGGTCCTCACAGTTGCTGTTTTTAAGACACACGCCCCCTTGAAATGCCACACCTTAAAGAGATGACATGCAAGTTTGCAGCATGGTGTGCTCTACACGGCTGGACTCTGTCGAGAGTGGGCAGCGGTCAGCGGTCTGGCCTCCCATCCTTTTAGACCAGCTTTTTGGGTGTTAAGGCTCTCTTTGAGCCCTCCCTTTCGATTTTCCCAGGCTTGGCCGCTCCGCAAACCCAGCTGGGGCCTCTTTAACCTTACTCCACGCCAACTCCTAAAGCCAAGTCAGCTGGGGGCCGACACAGCAGGAGCCCCAAATGCTGGTGAGCGGCGACAGCCTTAAAGGTACAGGACGGGTGAACCAAGACCGAAGGCCACGCTCCCCACCTGCCAAGTCCCCGGTTCCTGTGCGTGTCTCGGAGACCGACTTGGACCTCCCACCCAGCCCAGGGGCTTCCCTGGCCGCCAGGCCCCCGGGCCCCCGGGCCCCTACTCACCCCACACAGCCGGCAGGCACAGCAGCAGCAGCAGCAGCAGCAGCCGGGGCAGCTCCCCAAGGAGGGGCAGCGCCGCGGGCACGCTCGGCCGCGCAACAGTCATGGCGCGCGAGGTCAGAATAAGTACGCGCCGCCGGGACTCCACTGGGTCGCAGCTACGCCCAGCTGCCTGAGCGAGTTGCAGCGAGCAGAAGCAGCGCCTCGCAGCTCCGCAATAACAGTTAAATGAGTGCTTTGGGCGGGGCCTGGGCTGGGGTTCTGTGTCACGAAGGGTGGGACAAAGAAGACGGGTGGAGTAGGGATTTGTTGTGGTCAGAGGTGTGGTCAGAGGGCGCTGGCGTCGTACGCCCCTGGGAGCCCTAGACTCAGGGATAGCGGGAAGGGGAAGGAGGAGGAACTCGCTGGCAACCCCCTCTGGGATTCACTCTCTCCACCGCTGGGTGGGGCCTGCGATGACCTGCCTTCTGGAAACCTAAATGTCTCGTCGCTACGTAAACATAAACGGGGTGGAAACGGGAGAGGGGGAGGGGTGCTCAAGTATCGCAGGCCTTGCGGCCCGAACGTGAGTTCGTCTAAGCGGAGCATCCCCGCGCTTGAGTGCTGCCAAGCCGAGCTGCACGTGCGGTGGAATTCGGGGACTGAGACTCGGGGATTGAGACGCGGTGCCCTCCCCGTGTTGTGGGCCTCTACTGCGAGGTCTGTCAAAGGCCAGCACGAGGGTGGGGAAGTAACTAGGGAGCGAGGGCGTTATCTCCTAGAACACTCTCTAATGTGACAACAGAGAGCTAGGGAAACAGGTTGAGGAACACAGTAGGGAGTGAACATTGTTCATGCCTTGTTCTGGTGGGAGTCACTTGCTTCACCCGGGTTCTCCTTATTTACCAAAGACACCACTTTGGGATTACTCCAGCCTGACTGTAGAAGGAAATTCATCAGTGTGTGTGTGTCTGCCTCGGGGGGG